TTATGCCCCTGTCTAGCGGTGGGCCTTGGGGCAAGCCTGGTCCTTCCGTAAGCCCTGAATCACATCTCTAAGACAAAGACAACACCACCAACCTTGTATTAAAGATATCAGTCATCTAGGTGCCCAATCAGGATCTGGCACACACACGGCGGGGACCCGGAAACAGGTCATTCCTGCCTCACAGCTGCTTTCATGACTAAAGGTGAACACAGGTCGAAGGCCCAGAACTATGGCTGGGCAGGCAGAGCAGGCACTAAATCAAAGGCTGTCATGCCCTCTTCTCTCGGTTCCTCTCCTCTCCGACGGCCTCACTTCAGGCCTCATCTTTCTCACCGAGATCACCACCCCGGCGTCCTAATCTGGTCTCCGTGCTTGTAACCACATACCAGCCCGTTACATCTGGTCTGAAGCACCAGCCGGATGAATCACATCACATGACTGTCCCACCGACCACGTAACATGCGCGCTCCTCAGCAAGAACACAAGGTCCTTCCCAAACTTTCCAGCCTTGCCTCTTAGGGTCCCCCCCCCTCCCCCCGCCCATCCATATTCTCATGCCCACGCCCTACACAGTCCATCTGCTGCTTCCCAGCTGCTCCTTGCTCTCAGGCCGCCAAGCCTACCCAGAATGTTCTGGGGGCCTACTCATTCTTCAAGACGCAGCTCAAGCGTCATCTCCCCTTCAGAGATCTCCTTAACCCTCTCACTTTCTTCGGTTCCAAAGGCCTCACTGCCCCCTTCCCAGCACCTCACAAAACATATTCTAATGTTGCTCCCGCCCAACTGTGAAATCCTGGAAGGGAGGGAATAGGCCGTAGCATGTCAGTATGACTCCCAGTGCCACAGGCATGGTATCTATGTTCAAAACACGTGTGATGGTTTTTGTGATATAACCTTCATACGGCTCTCATGACGCATGGCACTCTGGAAAACAGAAGTGTCACTGCCAACATAGTGGAATCTCCGTATTTATGTGTATTTATAAAACCTAAAGAAAATTTCGAACACGCGGATATCTGTGAGTATGTTCTCATTTTCGGTAGATTTGTGGGGTTTAAATTCTAGCAGAAGCAGTGTTACCACGGGCAAAATATTAAGATGTCCTTCTTACAAAGGTATGCTTAAGCTTAGTTGAGTAGAACACAGCAGAATAATCGTACTGGCTAGGCGTGATTTTTCTTTTAAAAAATGAATTAAAAAAAAATCATTTCCTGTTTTCAAATGACTTCCACCTTTTCCAAAATGGAACATTGTACAAACTGACCTCTACCAATCATCGCAAGGACTGACTTTATATTCTATATAACCCATAACTGTTAGCTGTGAAATTACTATACATGTACTTGCTAAATAATATAGAAATCCCAAATATCAGTCTGAATACAGCGTTTTGAACGCACTTGTTTAAAAATCTAGCCCATCTCCCCATTAGGCAAGGGAAACAGATAAACTGTAGCATTTGGTATAAAAGAAAGAACACGACTTCAACTATTTAAAAAAAAAAAAAAGGGTACAACATGTGATTTTTGTTTCTTAAATCCCAAATATAACTCACTGTATTGAGTACCTCCTGTACTTTCCCGTATATTAAATAACTGCACACCAAGTTAAAAAAACAAAAGTCAAGGAAAACATGCCTGCCACCCACCCTTTTCCTGAGAAACAGACATAGTAAACACGTATAGAACACCTTGCAAAGGTCAGCGTGACGAGCCCCAAAGGAAGCTACTTTTTTAAATTAATTTAAAGAATGTGTTTGCGGATTTAGAGGATTTAGGGAGCAAGGGAGCGAGGAAGAGAGAATTGCGTAATTATTGGTTTTGGTAAAAAAAGATAGGTTAGTGGCGTTCAAATCCTGCTCTGGGGACCACACATGTGCCTCAGCAGCCATGGACTCCCAACCCCCCACATTAACTAGAGAAGCTCCCCCTTTTTGTTTTTGTCTGTTTATGCACCAAACTTCTGAAAACATTATTTGAACAAAAGTGTCCGTGACTTTAAAAAAAGTCTGAACATCACTAAGAAAGACTAACCAACATTCAGTGGGTGATATGGACATTAACACCCAATAAAACAATAAACAGAAGCATTCATTATGGGAAAAAAAATGGTTTTAGAAAGTGGTAAAACATTAAGAAGCAGGAAAGACTAATATCTGTACCTCCTGTACTTTCCCATATATTAAATAATTGTAGTCGCTTTATCGTGATGCATAAATGTTTCTTTTGCTTCTGATCATGGACTTACTGGGTCTAGTATTTGTTTAGGGAGTAGGCACGGAGGTTAACCTTTTTCAACTTGGTTTTGGCAGAAAGACAATGGGTGGCTTTAGCAAGGAACTGGCTGTGAACCCAAAGTAAGCAGCTGTGGAAGGGAAAGATGGTCAAGATGAGAGGCGACAGGACTGGTATGTTTGTTTAGGTGGATGGGAGGGGCCTGCAAAATAAACCTGGGGTAGGGAACAGACCTATCCTACTTTTCCGGAGATTTACAGAAAAAAGTTAAGGCCTTTCCCACGGACATTTCTGATTCTTCGCATCTATCTCCTCCCATGCCTCCACTTCCAAACCAACTAATGGCATCAAAAATCAGAAATTAGCCCTAGCTGGTTTGGCTCAGTGGACAGAGGGTCAGCCTGCAGACTGAAGGGTCCCGGGTTCGATTCCGGTCAAGGGCCCATGCCAGGGCTGTGGGCTCGATCCCCTGTAGGGGGCTTGGAAGAGGCAGCCGATCAATGATTCTCTCTCATCATTGATGTTTCTCTCTCTCTCCCTCTCCCTTCTTCACTGAAATCAATACAAGTATTTTTTTTAAAAATCAGAAATTAGTGTTTAACTACAGTAATTTATGAAACGTCATTTCCTAAAGAGATCAGAGTATGAAAAACACCCACTATATGCTTTGTTTTCTCTGATGAAAAAGATATGAATCCAAAAGCCTCTTTGCCAATGACTTGTGCCATGATTCAAGGAGATGACAGGATGGACCAGCTTCTTCTACCTTTTCCTCTCTCTTTCCTCAGCCCACAGTATGACAGGTTGAGGTGGTGACAGAGCAGAGAACAGCGGCTCAAAATAATCTAAGAAGAGCCTAGTACATTTTTTGCCTTTTCAAAATGCGTGTGTAGCCAGTAACATGACGGGTGATTTTCCCATTTGCCAAACGCTCTATAATGCGGAAATTACAGAGAATGTAATTGAGTCTCTCCCCGTGAAGACTCACTAATTTCAAAATATCAAGAGCAGAAGAAAAAAAACATTAATTAGCGCTTGCATTTTGAAAGCAAACTGTATTACTACATACTGATAAAAACAATTCTTCCCATTTGGTTCAAAAAAAAAAAAAATCCAAACCTGATGACTGAACAACAATTTTAACTACTTTAAATTAGTAACATTTAGCTCCTAAGAGTAGTAAATACTCTTTTGAAGGTTCAGAAATTAAAATGCTAGTTTTGTTCCAAACATGGGGAAGCCAATATGATTGTCATACATATACTGCCTAAACTTTGATCCTTTAATTATTTTACTATGCAGTTAAGATATTAAGAACCACAATCCTAGTTTCTTTCCTTTGATAAAACTATGGCGACAGAAAAGCAATTCTACAACAGAAGGCTGATACAATATTGATGCCTGCAAGGTAAGTACAGTGACTTCCGATCATCTACACGCAAGACTGCATCCATGCAGACTTTTCTATGCTATTTTCTGGACTTATAGACAAACCAGGAGAAGTTCCAGTCATTTATTTTCTCAAAATAGATAATATATGAGAGCTGTGTACAAATTATTTATAGAGATACTAATTCCCTCAAAGGAGATCTAAAATAAATCATCTATAGGCATTAATACGTGACTTCCAGCAAGATTCCAAAAATGTCTTCTTGCACCGAAATTCACATTGGAAAGAAACTAACAAGTGGGCTAGAAGTTTCGATCCTTTTTACAATGAGGGAAGGAATAAGTCAAATTTAATGTGTCTGTATTAGGTTTCAAAATTCTCTACCTTCAACAAAATATCACATCTTAATCTGACTATCGAAGTCATTCCTTTAAAATACATAAATTTGGTTCACAGAGTATTTATGTCATATGAGTCACTATGAAATACACAGTGCAGGCAAGAGTAATCACATTCGTATTGTTTTATGTATAGCACTTGTTTGCTGATCATAAAAGCTATCTCCCCCAAGAGAACAAATACACCGGTGAATTTCGTTTTCTGTTCTTTAAACAAAAATATAGCTCATCTCTGACACATATACAGTATTAAATCCTAGAGTTGTTTTGTGTGTGTGTGTGTGTGTGTGTGTTTAAGTTAATTATTTCTACATAGCTATCTAACCACCATGCAGTCAGAGGAGATGCAGTTCACAGCTAACACCACCTGAGGGCACTCCTAAAACTGTGAAACAACTTTTAGAATCAAACGTTTACTGACTAGGATGCAGGAGACCTAGTCCTACTTGAGGTTCAAGGCCTCAGGAGTGGCTTAAAAAACATGCTTCAGAAACCACGTGTGTCTTCCTAAAATCTGAGATGAAGATTGTGATCTACTGCATATTCTCTGGGCCTCCTGTCCTTGCAAGGAAAGCTGAGGTTCTACAGCAGGAGGAACAGAACTAGGTATTCCAATGAAAACATTTAAAAATGACTAATGAACCCATCTCATAGGACTATCCTTCCAGAACCCATATTCACATCAGCCAATAAAAAGTTCACATTTCTGCAAAGAGTTAACAGAAATTCAAGAATAACTTCACATACAGAGATGATTTAAAAGCTGGTCAGAAAAGGTCTGTTTAAACTGATAGGCGGCACTTCAGTTCAAGAAAACAAGCCAACCGCAGGCTCCAAAAAGTTCACATTTCTGCAAAGAATAACAGAAATTCAAGAATAACTTCCCATACATTGATGATTTAAAAGTTGGTCAGAAAAGGTCTGTTTAAACTGATAGCACTTCAGTTCAAGAAAACAAGCCAACCGCAGGCTCCTTACCTGTTTCCTGTGAATTCAACACTTCTAAGGCATGCATCATGGCACTTGCAAAGACATTGGCATCCTCTTTGCTGCCAAAGTTGAGACCATACACCTGTCTAGCGTCTCGCCATTGGTGGAAGGTCTGTGTAGCTTGATTGTACTTCAACCCTTTGGGAATGGCACAATTTATCACCACCTAAAAGACAGTAATTCTTTATAAAGTCAAGCAAATAAATGGCAAAATCGACAAAGTCAACAAATCCTGATTGAAAAGGTATCACTTCATTCATCCTTAGCCCTCCCGCCACCACCACTGCACTCGCCAGCCATGAGGCAGGCTTCTGGCTGAGTGGAGCTCCCCCTGTGGGAGCACACTGACCACCAGGGGGCAGCTCCTGCGTTGAGCGTCTGCCCCCTGGTGGTCAGGGCGCATCATAGCGACCAGTCGTTCTGCCATTCGGTCGATTTGCATACTAGCCTTTTATTATATAGGATTTTCATTCTCCATATATTTTAAACCCCATAAAGCACTATTTTTAGTTTTATACAGTCAATGATCGACTAAGATCAACACTTAATGCTTTTTAGTCCTCTGCCCTCTTCAAGCTTCCATTGGGACCATTTTTGATCTTGAAGAATTTCTTCCCATGTAGATCTGGCAAGGAAGTCTCTCCATTTTTGTCTGCCAGAAAATATCTTTATTTCACCTTCATTTTTTGAAGAATATTTGTATTAGGTACAGAATGTTACGTGGTCACTCACTTCCCTACAGTCATTTGAAGTTCACGGCCTCCCAGCTCTTGATTCTATTGAGAAGTCAGCTGACAGCTTATTGTTGCTACTTTAACGGTATCTGATTTTCAAGGACTGCTCAAGGGTTTCACCTTGTATTTAGTTTACAGTGATTTCAACACAATGGGTTTCTATAGGGTTTTCTTGGTGCTGATTTCATCCCTTTTGAAAATTCTTGTTTACTCTCTCTTCAGTTATTGTTCTGTCCTGTGATTACACACACTCTGCACTTTTCTCACTGTATTCCCTTACGTCTCCCTAAGCGCTTTGTGTATTACCTATTTTTCTCTGATTATCTTAGCTTCAGTCTGAATTTTTTTTTTCTTACCTGTATTTCAGTTTACTAATTCTTTTTAGCTATTTCTAATTGGTTGTAAAAACAAAACAAAACAAAATCATCTCTGAGTTGTTAACAGCAGTTATTTTATGTTTCGATTCTTTTTTAAAAAAATCTTTATATTGTTGAAAGTATTACATGTCCCCTTTGTTCCCCCTGGACCCCTTCTAACCCACCCCTGCACTCCTCCCTGTTCCCCCCGGTCCCCCTCATCCCAGGCCTTAAATTTCCATTTTGTTCTTTTTTCAAGTATCCAGTTCTCTGCTGAAATTCTCAATCTGTCTTATATTTCCTTGAATGTATTAAGCATAGTTATTTTAAAGTCACTTCCTGATAGTTCCATTAACTGGATTCCCAGGGGTCTGTCCTATTGCTGTTTCTTTCCCGTCTCCTCGTATGCCTGGGTATTCTGATTGAGTGCCAGACGTTGCATATGGACAATTTTAAGGAAATGTTGATGCCTACGATGATGTTATATATTTTTTCCCCCAGGGAAAATGTACATTGGCTTCTGGCAAACAGCTAGGGAAACTAACAGTCTTAAATCACCTTCAAGTAATTCAAATGATTGAGGCTGAGCTATGAGGGCCAGTCTAATTCTGAGTCAAACTTTTTCTTCCCAACATATGGGAGGGACTTCTGGGTCCCAAACCATGGCCTGCGAGACTACCCACACACCCTCCCTCATTCGCAGGGCCTGACTTCCCATGTTTGCTCTACCGGCCCCAGGACTCGGCCCCAAATCTGCTTAGTTCCTCAGTTTCCTCTTTCAAAATTGACACAGGCCTCTGGTGAACAGGTCCAAAGCTGGGTTCACGTCTATGCTTCTTTCTTTTAGATCATAACTTACTATGTGTCTTCCCCCATTCTTTACTGCATCTTTCTTTCAAGGTTGGGAACCTTATCATGCTTGTGAAACCTAATCACAGTGCCTAGAACATAACAACCACTGAATAAATGTAGAAAAATGGAATATTTTAATATATCTATATATATAAAAGCCTAAGCAACCGAACGACCAAACAACCGGTTGACCAGTCGCTAGGACGCGGACTGACCACTAGGGGGCAGACGCTCGCTCAACACAGGAGCTGCCCCTGGTGGTCAGTGCGTTCCCATAGCCAACCTCCCGTGGTCCCTCCCTCTGCAGCCTCAATTGCCCCATCACCGGCCAGGGCAAGGGACACCTCCCATGCACAAATTCCTGCACCGGGCCTCTAGTGTGTATATAATTTGTACACGCTCCATTCTACAAATAAATAAAGAGTGATTTCTTTTTAAATGGATCTTACTACAGGAAGTTAAGGTATTGTTTAATAAATTATAATAACATGTTTCCACTTTAAGAAAGGCTGATAACCATTGAAAAATGTAACAAAGGTACCCTGGAATGAGAGAAAACCAATTTTTATTAGATATATTCATAGGTACACATTATTATGTTACTTTAAATATTTTTATAAAGTTTTATTTTCTTTTATATACTGATCTTGTATTTTAATAAAAGGGGCAACCTTGCTGAACAGTCTTATTAGCTGTAATATTTTATCTCTGTAGATACTCGGGATTTTTTATGTAGAGAATTATATCATCAGTGAATAAAATCAGCTCTACTACTTCCTTTACACTCCTTCTAGCTTCTATTTCTTCATCTTTATATCACCAGGTTACTTCCTTTGCAATGCTAAATGAACGAAAGCGATGAAAGTTGAAATCCTCGCCCTGACTGGTTTGGCTCAGTGGATGGAGCGTCGGCCTGCGGACTGGGGGGTCCCGGGTTCGATTCCGGTCAGGGGCATGCAGTCTTATTAGCTGTAATATTTTATCTCTGTAGATACTCGGGATTTTTTATGTAGAGAATTATATCATCAGTGAATAAAATCAGCTCTACTACTTCCTTTACACTCCTTCTAGCTTCGATTTCTTCACCTTTATATCACCAGGTTACCTCCTCTGCAATGCTAAATGAATGAAAGCGATGAAAGTTGAAATCCTCAACTTATTCCTGAGTTTAGTGGAAATCCTAAAACTGTACTGTCCTGTGAGATGTTTGCTGTATGTTTACGTTAGTCATCCTCATCAGCTTAAGAAAATTCATTTTTATGCCAAACGTGCTGAGAATTATTACCTTCGGGTTTTAATTTTATCACATGTTTTTCCTGAATCTCGTTTCTAATAGGTGTTCTCCCGGTATGTTACATTATTATTATCGAATGTTAAACTATCCTTACATTACTGCTGAATTTGGTCTGCTAATATCTTACTGAGGACTTTTTATAACATTTTAGGTAAATTATTAACTACTGATATATTTTATGATTGCAGATCTATTAAATTTTTCTACTTTTCTGCCAGTTTTGGTCAGTAATATTTTTCTACAAAATGGCCCACTTACTGGCATAAAGCTGTTCAAAATAACTTACAGTAACTTATTTTTGTAGTATATCCATAGCTACATCTCTTTTCCAATCCGAATATAACTTTTTTTTTTCTGCTAGATTCTGCCAATTTTTCTGTTCAGTAGGGCAGCTTTTGTGTTAACAAGTTCTATTTATTTTTAGTATTTCCTTCTGCTTCCTTCTTAAGCTCATTATATGTCATTAAGAGTTGCCCATCTAAGGACAGCTTAGATGTCCCACAGGTTTCTATATATAATCTCTTGTCACTCAGGTCTAAGCACTTTCTTTCTAAACATTTTCTAATCTTCATAACGCTTTCATATCAGTGTCATGAATTATTTAGAAGTGTATTTAAATTTCCAAACATTTTAAAAACACTCTATTTGTCAAAAACTATAAAGTCACCGGATAGCTTACTTCTCTTATGGATAAAAAAATCTCAATGTTTTCATTTGTAAATTGTCTGACTTGTGCAGACGTCTTTAGAATTATTTTTAAACTAGAAGCCCAGTGCGCGAAATCACACAGCCCCGACCACCCGCGCCGGTGCTGGTCTTTGGTCGTTACGGCGTTAGGGCCACAGGCCTTTTATAATAGAGACTAGAGGCCCGGTGCACGACATTCGTGCACTGGGGGATGTGGGGGTCCCTCAGTCCAACCTGTACCCTCTCCAATCTGGGAGCCCTCAGGGGAGCCCTCTCCAATCCAGGAGTTTCTGTCTGTCTTTGCAATCATATGAGTGAATTGTCTGAGACCCCCAACCCAGTTTGTTTTGTTGCTCACAGAATAACAGAGGCATTTTTTTCTTTGCTTCATTGGTGGAGATTTCCTGGAAGTTTTAGGATATCTTCCCTTTAATTTTTCCTAGACACTCTGATTTTACTTACATCTCTCACCTTTGCTTTCCCTCCATCCCCCATCGCAACAGTAACTTGCTCCAGGCTCACTTTGCTCTAGTGTCTAGGAGAGCCATCTGCCACCAGAACTACGATTCCCAGCATTCCTGGTGCTCCCCGTGCTGCTGGGAGCAACCGAGGAAGCCACATCCCCCCAAGCCTCCGGCTCTACCGCTCTGCTCTCCACCCAGTGCCTGTGCATGCAAATTAACCTGCCATCTTTGTCGGGGTAATTTGCATACTCACTCCTGATTGGCTGATGAGTGTAGCGGAGGAATGGTCAATTTACACGTTTCTCTTTTATTATATAGGATATGCATTTCCTTTGTGGGCCGACATTGAGATACTTTTAGGGCTGTTCTTCAGGACGACCTATGCTTTCCCCATCGGGACTATTTTGACTACGGTTTCAAACCCCTGCTTTATTTTCATGAAACAGCAAGTCCTTCCGTAACACAGGACGGCTTGAAGAACTGAATCCGACCCGTACCTGATGGTCCTGAATCTTCCTGCCCACCACTCTGAAGGTGTTGTTGCCGGTGTGGTGATAGATGTGGACTCTGCTGAACCCAGTCGAGCCACCAGCTGGAACCCACTTCTTGTTGGCATCATCATAAACCATCACAGCAGCTCTTGCCTGACAGATACTCTGTTCACTGTGAGAACAAGCAGAAAAGGAAAAAGCAAAAAAAAAAAAGCAAACATGAGACATCTAAAATATGCTCAGTTGCCCACACAGCCATATAAATCAGAGTCAGCCGACTCAGCAGTCACTCAACAATCAGTGCTTCACTGGGTGCCAGAAACAACAGTGAACAAGACAAAAGCTTCCTGCCCTTGTGGGTACAGTCTGGTGGGTTAAAAAGTAAAGGGTAATGAGGGACATGAGGAGGGGATCAGGATCCACGAACACACACGTAACACAAAAATGTTTTCTTCTAAACCTGAGTATCGACACTCTCATTAAACTGAATACAGCTCTAAGTATTAATTACCCATTATGTGTTTAATCATATATCCTATATAATAAAAGGCTAATATGCAAATTGACTGAACAGCAGAATGACCGGTTGCTATGACATGCACTGACCACCAGGGGGCAGATGCTCAGTGCAGGAGTTGTCCCCTGGTGGTCCGTGTGCTCCCACAGAGGGAGCGCCGCTCAGCCAGAAGCCGGGCTCATGGCTGGCTAGTGCAGCAGTGGTGATGGGAGCCTCTCCCGCCTCCATGGCAGCGCTAAGGATGTCCGACTGTGAGAGGGTGCAGTCCAGCTGAGGGACCCCCCCCTCCAAGTGCATGAATTTCATGCACCGGGCCTCTAGTATGTTTATAATGTCGGTGACCTGTTTGTGAATCCCTCTGTACTGAAAACCTGTTGGTCATCAGGCTTGCTTCATGGTCTATATAGCAAATTCTGAGAAGCTCTATCTGCCCCTTAAGATATGGAGTGGTCACCAATAATCAATGATGGTAATGTGACTCACTCTCTGACACCCCTTGGCCAGAACACCCTATGTTTCAAATTTCTTCATTTAAAAAATGAAAAAGTAAAATGAGATCTTTTCCAAGGATCCTTTAGATTTTAATTCTAACCATCACAGATAAATACGAAAACAGGACAATCGGAAAATAATGTCTTTAAATCTCAGCTTCATCTCAATTATCTGTTACCAAGTGAGACCGAGATACATGAATAAATAAAATGAGGGGAGATGATCTGAATTTCACATTAAGCACTAGTTTCATCTTTCAAAAATCCTCTAATGCCACCCTGGGGGGAAATGGTTGATTAGAAGTTTAGTTTATTTCGTTTTTGTTTTTTAAATCAAATATGGAAAATGAACAACAAAGAAAACAGGTACAGTAACTCTATGCTTTACCCCAAGCACCCCACATACTATAGAAGACTTAGCTGATGTTTAAGCCATAACTGATGCAGAGGCCCCCAAGTAACTCACCCAACCCCATCTTTAACGAAAGCTTTGCTCATTCAGCCCACTTTGGCCTCAAAGACTTAAGAAAGTAAACATATGGGTTCCTCCCCAATGTCCTCAGGAGCAAAAAGTCACTTTCGCGACCTCTTCTCTCACCCCCACGTCTGCCCCATCTCTCAACACTGTATGTGTGTGTTTCACTCAACTTGCCAGGCAATCTGATGACAGAGGATCATGGAGACATTGAGAGGCCGCAGCACTGAGCAATAACACTGCTTCAGAACAATGGGTTCCAATTGTTTATATTTTTCCACTCGAGAAATTTTACAAAAATTTGTAACAATATTTGTGTGGCACGAACACTGAAATAAATCCAGTGATAGTCTAATACTGTATGCTGCCCTGAAATTTTCTAAACATAACTGTAATTGAGTTTTGATTTTATAGAGAGGAAGGGAGAGGGGGAGAGAGATAGAAACATCAGTGATGAGAAAGAATCATTGATCGGCTGCCTCCTACATGCCCCCCACTTGGGATCAAGCCCACAACCTGGGCACATGACCTGAATCAAACTGGTTCATGGGCCTACGCTCAACCACTGAACCACACCGGCTGGGCTGCACTGAAATTTTGGGGGTAAAAAGTTCTGGGAATAAAAATAAACCGATGACTAGAGCTTGAATTATTATTATTTTTTAATATTTTTTTATTGATTTTTTTTTTACAGAGAGGAAGGGAGAGGGATAGAGAGATAGAAACATCGATGAGAGAGAAACATCGATCAGCTGCCTCCTGCACACTCCCTACTGGGGATGTGCCCGCAACCAAGATACATGCCCTTGGCCGGAATCGAACCTGGGACCCTTGAGTCCGCAGGCCGACGCTCTATCCACTGAGTCAAACCGGTTATGGCGAGCTTGGATTTATTTTTTAAGCTGTGATTCAAGAGCACTTGTCAGCACAACAGTGGAAATCTGGTCCTCACTCACAAGAGAAACACTTAAGTGACAACATTTACATAACCCTATCGCAAGACGACATGAACCAGGTAAAGCAAAGTGCGCAATCCAAGAAGCAAATCTGTAGATTAATAAAGTAACACTATTTCCCAGTTTTCAAAAATTACTATTTGGGGACATACAATATGATTCCCATGGTTCAAGAAATACGGTCTCCTCAAGGGAGTCCCAGTGGGATCGATCACACACATTAGGCCACACTGAACCCCTATTTTTTGTAAGTTAAGTCGTTTCATGCTCAAAAAAAAAGAAGAAAAAAGGCTTTCCAAAAATAAAAATAAAAAAACCCAAAAGCAGAATGTCCCCACTTCTTCCTCTACAATGGGTATCTGGAGACATTCCATGGATTGAAGTACACGGTTCATCGAACAGCTTTTAATTGGCGCTTATTATACAAACCACTTCATCAACCATCCACTGTCTGGTCACTTCAACTTCCCTGGAAAAGCTACAACCACTGAAACAAAGACCTCTGCAAACGAACATATCCAAGTGGCCAGCAAAAGGCCAAAAATGCAAAAAAAAAAAAAAAAAAAAAAAAATTTCGTTGATTCATTTTCTATTGAAAATGAAATGTTCAACATGAGAGGTTAAGGATACAAATCTAACGCTAAGCAAAGCCAAGGAGCAGCGGGAGGGAGGAGCCAGGGTTAACGAGAAGAAGAACTAAGAAGCTGTGGGTAAGAGCTGAGGGGCTCTGGGAAAAGGAGGAACAGACACGAGAGGATGTGGAAGGTGCGAAGGGACGGGTTCGGCCCAGATAACTCTGCGGTCCTGGAGGACATCTGGCACTCAGAGAACACACATCAAAGCCAGGCCACGAAGGGACCGGCCCGGCCCACAGGGGTTCTTAGAGACAAATTCAAATCAAGTCCTCCCATTCCTTCCCACAACATCTGAGGATCTTTCCTGGCTGGAGACAGACATTCTGTGGTATATAAAAAAAATCGTTGGTCTTTGTCCCGGTCCCTGGCACAGAGCTCCTAAAACCCTTGGCATCTCCTGAACAGGAAGAGAGCCTCTGGCATGCTAATGAGCTGACTTGTAGGCTTGAGGAAGGGAGCTGTTTTCAGAAATACTGAGCCATGATCAGAGGGTTGCAATTTTCAGTCCTACTCCCCCTCCCCCCCACCTCTGGGGAGGGTAAGAAGGGTTAGAAATAGAGTTCACAATCATGCCTATGTAACGAAACCTCCATAAACACACCCAAACAAGCTCGCGTGGCAGTGCTGGGTGGGTAGCATGCCCAGCGTGGGCATGGAACCTCTGCACCCACCCCATCCTTTGCCCTATGCATCTCTTCCATCTGGCTGTTCCGCAGTTGCATCTCTCTATATAAAAGCCTAAGCGACCGTTCAACCGGTAGCTATGACGTGCACTGACCACCAGGGGGTTAACAAGTTCTATTTATTTTTAGTATTTCCTTCTGCTTCCTTCTTAAGCTCATTATATGTTATTAAGAGTTGCCCATCTAAGGACAGCTTAGATGTCCCACCGGTTTCTATATATAATCTCTTGTCACTCAGGTCTAAGCACTTTCTTTCTAAACATTTTCTAATCTTCATAACGCTTTCATATCAGTGTCATGAATTATTTAGAAGTGTATTTAAATTTCCAAACATTTTAAAAACACTCTATTTGTCAAAAACTATAAAGTCACCGGATAGCTTACTTCTCTTATGGATAAAAAAATCTCAATGTTTTCATTTGTAAATTGTCTGACTTGTGCAGACGTCTTTAGAATTATTTTTAAACTAGAAGCCCAGTGCGCGAAATCACACAGCCCCGACCACCCGCGCCGGTGCTGGTCTTTGGTCGTTACGGCGTTAGGGCCACAGGCCTTTTATAATAGAGACTAGAGGCCCGGTGCACGACATTCGTGCACTGGGGGATGTGGGGGTCCCTCAGTCCAACCTGTACCCTCTCCAATCTGGGAGCCCTCAGGGGAGCCCTCTCCAATCCAGGAGTTTCCGTCTGTCTTTGCAATCATATGAGTGAATTGTCTGAGACCCCCAACCCAGTTTGTTTTGTTGCTCACAGAATAACAGAGGCATTTTTTTCTTTGCTTCATTGGTGGAGATTTCCTGGAAGTTTTAGGATATCTTCCCTTTAATTTTTCCTAGACACTCTGATTTTACTTACATCTCTCACCTTTGCTTTCCCTCCATCCCCCATCGCAACAGTAACTTGCTCCAGGCTCACTTTGCTCTAGTGTCTAGGAGAGCCATCTGCCACCAGAACTACGATTCCCAGCATTCCTGGTGCTCCCCGTGCTGCTGGGAGCAACCGAGGGAGCCACATCCCCCCAAGCCTCCGGCTCTCCCGCTCTGCTCTCCACCCAGTGCCTGTGCATGCAAATTAACCTGCCATCTTTGTCGGGTTAATTTGCATACTCACTCCTGATTGGCTGATGAGTGTAGCGGAGGAATGGTCAATTTACACGTTTCTCTTTTATTATATAGGATATGCATTTCCTTTGTGGGCCGACATTGAGATACTTTTAGGGCTGTTCTTCAGGACGACCTATGCTTTCCCCATCGGGACTATTTTGACTACGGTTTCAAACCCCTGCTTTATTTTCATGAAACAGCAAGTCCTTCCGTAACACAGGACGGCTTGAAGAACTGAATCCGACCCGTACCTGATGGTCCTGAATCTTCCTGCCCACCACTCTGAAGGTGTTGTTGCCGGTGTGGTGATAGATGTGGACTCTGCTGAACCCAGTCGAGCCACCAGCTGGAACCCACTTCTTGTTGGCATCATCATAAACCATC